TACACACATACACACACGCACACACCCTAAACGATGAACCCCATACGGCAGACCCTAAACACACAAGCACACACACACACACACACAAACAGACAGCCCACCTCAACCTGCCCCGGGCTGCGTACCATGAATGCTGCCTCGGCCCGACTCGGAAAGATCCTTCCTCTACTTCATCGAGTTTCTATCAGGGTATCCTTAATAGGTTAGTACAAAGGCTCTATAGGAATGTACAGGGTTTTATTTTGGGGGTCGGATTCGGGTTTCCTGGAAGGATCATGGGATTTAGTAGATAAAGACTTATAAGCACCTTAATTGAGGTTCGACGTTAAAAGATGATGTTCTACATCGCTGCCAGTATAGTTACCTTGTTTCTGACCCTAGCCACCCTTTGAATAGCCCCAGGATTCTTTTGCTTCTAACATGTTTCGAATCCGAAACCCCAAATTTGACTAGAGTCGGCTCTGAAGAGAAGTGCCCGAAATCAGGCCCCAAAGCCCTAAGATCCTTGAACAGCTAAACCAGATTTAGGGGTTTGGGGTCTATGGGGTTTAGGATTTAGGGTTGAGGGTTTAGGGGTTCAAGGGTTTAGGGGTTTTAGGATTTGGGGGTCAGGGTCTACAGGGTCTAGGACCGTCAATCCCAACGCCCTAAACCCTTACCACCTATGCTTGAGAAGGTCAATTTCGAGATATTGCATGGTGCACACAATGCCAGATCCTGTGGAGAATGACGCTACACCGAAACGACGACCCTCAATGGTCAGCAATGACGACGGTGCGTGTAAAACCCTGATACATAGAAGCATCTACAGGGAAAATATTACCCGTGATCGCAGACATTTAGGCGATAACACAGCATAGATGAGGGATCTAGGTAAAACCGAACCGAAACCCTTAAATAAAGCCTACGACCTCAAAACCTAACCCCGAGGACCTTAAGACCCTAAGCCCTAAGCCTCAAATTCCCACACCCGGAACTCTTAACTGATCTACAACCGAAATGCTAAACGCTACTTGCTCTGCACAAAAGTCTCTACGGACCGTTACAAGTACCTTCACCAGACTAGAAGACATAGGTGAGTTCACTCACTTGTAAGCCTCGCCTTCTAACCTAAACACTACAACTCAAACCCATAAACTCTACACCGTCATTCACCTGAAGCTAGTTTTAGTGGTTGGCTGTGCGGAGTTCAAAATTCAGTCTCGGCGGCATTGATACCAGAGCGGGCTACCTTGGCCGGTTCGTGAACTCTGCTAAACCCCACAACCCTAGTCTAGGGGTCCATCCTGAAACAATGGCAAATCCGTCGCTACAGGTTTACCGGTTAAGATATGAATAGAGATTTCAGTTTAGGAGAAGAATCATGGCATTATGGCATATGGAGGCTTTTACAAACGAACTTCAAATCAGGACCCAGCAAATTTTAGACTCAGGGTCCATATCAGCGCTCCTTGCTTTCTGCAGCTGCCATATGGCACCAGTTATAAACCCTGCGGTTTAGGGTTTAGGGCTTAGGGTCCAACATCCCTGCTGCAGTAGCATTCCCACTAAGACTCAAACCAACACACACCCTAAACCCAAATCGCTAAACCCGAAAGCCCAAACCCTAAACCCTAAAACCCTAAACCCTAAACTCTAAAACCCTCAACCCTAAATCCTGAACCCTAAACCCTATAAACCCAAAACCCTTAATGGCAGACTGTAGCTTGCAGCTCTTAGCTCAAAAATGCTTACGGTTCCAAGTCCGGCAACAGAGTCTGGTACAAAACCCGCCCAGAGGGTCTGAGTACCCAAATAGTAGGGTTTTGTGTCCCAAAAACCATACTCTGAATGGTTTTTGGACCTTGAAACCCTACTGTTTGGGTACTTGGACCCTTAGGGCCGCCTATGTAGAGGCCTGAATAATGAGACAAGGCTCTTCGGGTTCTTCATACACTACCTTAGTTAAAGGAAACTACAGGTGGGGAGTTTAGGGTATATAGGGCTTCTATAAGGCTTCCAGAAGGTATATAGACGTTCTATAAGGCTCCTATAACGGTAACTACCCACCTGAAAATGACTTAGCCCCTGCCAAAATGGAGGCTTCAGCACGACAAACCCCAGAAAGTTGGAACATGGCTTTGGGATAAGAGCTAGGATGATCCCATATGTTTTACTTTAAGGGCATGAGGATTACATGGTTTTGGGATAAGAGCTAGGATGATCCCATATGTTTTACTCTAAGACTCTAAGGGCATGGGGAATGTAATGTTCCAGCTTCATGGCAACTACTACGGGTTTTTGTAGACTCATGTTGGGTTAACTTTTCTTCCGAGGCAGTATGTTACGGGCTCAGCCCCATACTTCGAGGGTTGCCGGCTAAAGTTCGTACTAGGAGCCTTGATAGTTAGAACAGAGTATATCCTAAACCCTAAGCCCTTAACCCTAAACTCGGAGCCTTACTAGTTAGAACGGAGTGTATCCTAAACCCTAAACCTCAAACTAGGAGCCTTAATTGTTAAAGGAGTACACGAATATCAAAAAGACCCTAAGAGACAGTATTGGCAATTACGTACTCAGGCTGCTGCCGTAGGGATCTAAGCCCTAAACCCTAAAACCCTAAACCCTAAACTCTAAACCCTAAAACCCTAAAACCCTAAACTCTAAACCCTAAAACCGTAAACCCTAAACTCTAAAACTCTCAACCCTAAATCCCGAACCCTAAATAAACCCTAAACCCCTAAACCCTATAGATCCTGAACCCTAAACCCTAAAGTCTAAACCGGGCCGTTAAGACACCCGGTCATTGACGTTGGCACGGAGCCCGAGCATGACTCGCAGAACATCCTCGGTGTAGGGTCTATAGTTTAGGGGTTTAGGGGTTGGGGTTTCGGGTTTAGGGTTTAGGGTTTAGGGCTTTAGGGGCTTTTTTTTTCCCCGGTGGGTTCGGGCTTCTCACAGCGGATGAAAGAGAAGGCGGTTGAGGGTTTAGGGCCCCAGAACTTCAGGGCTTTAAGATCTGAGCTTTGGTTGGTCATGGTTTTGGGCTTCGGGCAATAGAGACTTCGGGGAATAGAGACCACTGATGAGTAATCCCCTTTCTCTAAGGACCGTAATATTTGGATTCCCTGTTGCAAAGCCCAAGTAAAGGTAGCTTCTCAATCAGAGGTCTACAGAAAGGCACGTTTCGCTTAGGTTACATGGAGGGTCATGGGACTTAGTAAGTCAATTTATAAGTACCTAAATTGGGGTTATAAAATTTTGTAACGATACCCTAAATTGGGGTTATAAAGTTTTGTAACGATACTTGCTGTAGTTACTGAGTCCCACGATCCTTCATGTACTTCATGTGCGACCAGGGAGCAGGAGGATGATTCATTCGCGCCGCGATCATGAGCGGTGTCAGTGTGTTCCTCGCAGGGCACCGCAGCATAAACACATGGGTGGTTGTCAAATTGTTGGTCCCTTTTTGGGTCCTTATTATAATACGGCACCTATTATTTAGGGTACCCCAAAAGGGACCATAATTTTGACAACCATCCACATAAACCAGAGGCTCAAACTGAACTCCATTCTAAAACGTCGGCAAAAAGGTTTCTCTTTGCAGATTCCAATAAAAGAAACCATAGCCCCAAACCACTGACAAACAATTAAACACAGCGGCAGCCATAGATCGTTTGCCCGCAATCCTAAACCAAAACCCGTTCAGGGTTTAGGCTGAGGGTTTACTTAAGCTCTGAATTCGAAGCTCACATCCAAGACCCTATTCATAATAACATAAAACTCACTAAGCCCTAAAATCTACTCCTCTTAGAGCTAGAAGGTCAGCAACACAGTAATCTTCCCCGGACAAATTCAAAAACCACAAAGAGATACCTAAGACTCAATGAGTCAAAACCATAAGCACCCTAAACCCTAAACCCTAAACAAACCCTTCAACCCTAAACCCTAAACGTCCCGAAAAACTCTACAAATCCATCCAAACCATCCTGCAACCCCTTGATATCCTAATCAGTCCCCATGACAGCAAATATGAATCCCGACCCCAAAAACTCCATAGCCCTGATGTAGGGGCCTTAACAATTAG